ATTGCACACAGTTTGCGGAAAAGAATACCAATTAACATTGTCTGGCAACGTATTTAAAGAGAAGTGCGCAGAGCAAATCAGATGGTAATTTGTACACTTGATCGCAACATGATCAATAATGAATGAAAGATTCATTAAATGTAGACTTTGCCCTCGTTAAGGAGCAGGCTACTGGTGTGTTTTAGATTTAATTAGAACATAAGTTAAAGTATCTAACAAAATGTGTCAAATCCAGGTTTAAAAGAGATTTAGATAAAGGTAAAATAAATTAGAAATAAATTAGAAATAAATTAGAAATAAATTAGAAATAAATTAGAAATAAATTAGAAATAAATTAGAAATAAATTAGAAATGGGCAGCTAAATAACCCTGTTATTGTAATAAACTAACCTTGGCTTTTGGAGCTTTTGGAACAGTTTCTACAACAGCGTACGCTGGTTCAGCACTCCCCTGAATAGATAGGAATTTATGGAATGATTCAGGCCATGTGATCAACAATTTTTTTTGAAACCTCCTGGAAACCTCATATCTCCATCCCCTGAAATTCCCGTCCAATTTTGACAAGAATTAAGTGAGTTATTACAGGGTTGCGTGTGGGCGGTAAACTTTGGGCCACCCAGTATTATGCATTCTTCTAGAGACTTCTGGAATGTTTGAACACAGTAAATAAAAGTTACTGGAGTCCGGTCCCTACCCAGCCACCCAGGGCTCATTAATTAGTGGCTAAACACGAATATGAACCCCTTTATAGTTCACTAAGTTAAATTACAAAGCAAATTATGTATTATCTAAGTAAAGTTGAAGTTACACTTTTGTCCAGTAAATTATTAATTGACTGATTTTGAATCAGTTAATTAATTGAACTATTTAGACTGATCCAAGCTTAAACAGCTAAACAAGTACTAAAAAGTATACCAATGTAAAACGTCAAATTTAGATGACATAACCTTACGGGTACAATGACGACAATGACGACAATGACGGCAATTATAGACACTTAATAACAAATTAACCCAAGTTGGACCAGACAGGTGTAACATAGCGACTACTTTAACGCCGTCTTGTTTCGCCTCTCTCTTCCACACTCAACCACCACTTAAGCGTTTATCTATGACACACCCCACAACACTTACCATCATCCTTGATTACACATCTTCATTCCACTGGCATCCTCCCACAGGACTGCCATACCCCAGAGGTAGGCAAAGCATTCATATGCTATCCTCTCGTGGGCCAACCAGGGCCAGCCTCTCTTTTAAAAATAAAAATATTTAAAATATTAACCCAAGTTTGAGAGATAAACTTACATTGGTAGAGAGCTTCTTGGCTCTTTTTCTCCTCCAGTAACAAACAACCCCAACTATAATGAGGACAACCACCAGGGCTACTCCGCCACATATCAGACCGATAGTCAGTTTCTCCTGTCTCTCTGAAATAATATATTAGTTATTAGTAACTAGTAATTAGTTATTAGTTATTAGTATATAAAGCGGGTTAAGTTTTATAGTCTTTAACTGAAAGCAAATCGTAATTTGTAAATGTTACTTTTAACTTTTATAACTTTTCAATAATTGTAGGAAATCACTTTTACTGTAAAATGTTTAGTAGCATCAAAATTCAAATATGAGAATGGTGTAGCTGCCCAGTGGCTAGTGTCTACGAATAGTGGCTAAGTGCCTGCTTTCTAAGTTTTAAGGGGACAGGGTGACACAGTATCATACTGTATCTTAAATGAAATGGGGGGTCTTTTCATTTCGACAATTGATCGGCACTAGTAGGAATAACTGAGCCATCTTACTGTATGTAATGTGAGACGCGTATCTGTGTATATATATGTGTAGGTTTATCTGTTGCCATTTTACTGACATCACGAAATCACATTGTTGGGTCGAATGCTTTTATGTTTATGGCCTTTTGGCCAATATGAAGAAATAACAAATTGGCCAATATGAAGAAATAACAAATCGGCCAAGAAATAAGAGGTTTAGGTTCCAAAATGTGGTCCCACAAGTGGTGTCAAAGTCATAAAATAAATGAATTTTATTGTCTCTAACACTTCAAGTATTCATGCATACTATCTTCTATATTCAATTGTTTCATCGCAGACAAAATAACGATAGACAAATCGTACATTTGACTATATAATCAGTTGTTCCTTCTGTTCTGTTGAAGTTTTAAATTGGTAATTAGTAATTAGCTAATTATTTAATTGGTCACAGTGCCCCACCTTCCCAAGGTTTGTAAGTGGCTCTTCTTCGCAGTCGAACCATGCTTTATGTATTTGTGGGTTAAAATAACTTCAATATACGGCAGTAAGTAAAGCAATCATGTCTCAATTTGTACTTATAAGTTATAAATATAAGTTGTATATGTAAGTTATTTATATATTAAGTTATGTTTATACATTAAGTTATCTCTCCACAGAATTTAGTAGATAAATAACAATGAAGCTAAACTCAGAATTCGAAAAATGGTCGTTTCTCGACGTTTCCTCTCAAACGACAACCTTACAGTAAAGCGGCCAACAAATTGTTTGTTAGCAGAAATTTAATTATAAACAGGGCCCTGTACTGGTAGAATTGGCCCTGGGCCAAGGATTGATACATGCTAACATGCCGCAATAAAACGGATAAGCATGATTAAGCAAAAGCCAAGACAAACTGTGGACAATACAATATTGGTGCGATATATTGTGTTGTTATTTGAAACCACTTGAACTGGTTCCAAATCAGACCAAATTGTTTTTACCAATTTTAGAACCATCTAACTGTGGAAGAAAGGGGTTCCTTCAAGCAAGAGTTCAGAGAGTAATGTAAAGACACATTTGGTGCACAGTTGATCACAATGCACCAAGACAGCTAACACAGTTCATCCACTGCATACTACTATAATATAGTGTATACCACTATATGGTATATCACTATATACTATATAGTATATCACTATATATATGTATATACTACAATATACTACCATGCTTACTGCCTGTAACTGAACAAAAGTCGTTGGAATTTAGAATCTGCTCTCAGATCTGGTAATATACAGGAGTAACACTGACCACTGTTCTCAATGGGCCATAGCACAATCCAGGTACATAGCACAATCCAGGTACATAGCACAATCCAGGTACATAGCACAATCCAGGTACATAGAATCCAGGTACATAGAATCCAGGTACATAGAATCCAGGTACATAGAATCCAGGTACATAGAATCCAGGTACATAGAATCCAGGTACATAGCACAATCCAGGTACATAGCACAATCCAGGTACATAGCACAATCCAGGTACATAGAATCCAGGTACATTTCGTACAGTGAAGTAACAATGAGCCACGCTTACCCTTATATACAGTATACAGTATACACTCTATACAGTATACAGTATACAGGTACAGAAATCTACTGGGGCATTTGAGGGGGAGGACAAAATGTATCCCAACGACTTTATAGGAAGTAAGAATCAACGTAAGGTTAACTTAGTTAAAATAGCTGGAATGACAATGATGAAACTAAGGGGCCATCTACTTAGGACGTCCGCCAAAATCGCAGATTTTCAGACCACCCCCTCCCCCTGTCCGGGTACTGTGTCCGAATTTTCAAAACCACCCCCCCCCCCCCCCCTCCCCCGGACGTCCGGGTTTCCAGCTACTTTTAAGAGTACGAATAAAACTCAGCTCTCATGAGCTGCTTTGGGAATCGACTTCTCGTTCAAAAGACAGGGATCTAAACTTACAAAGTAACTAGTGTCAAAGAGTTGAAATAAATGGGATTTTTTCGTTAATTCTGCCAAAATTTCCGGACGTCCAGATTTTCAGAAACCACCCCACTCCCCCCTCTCCCTGTCCGGATTTGTCCGAAATTCCAAAACCACCCCCTCCTTCCCGGTTAACCGGATGTCCTAAGTAGATGGCCCCTAAAACAAAATCCAGCAGACTGCTGCAATCGACAAAAGCAGTAAGATTTAACGATGTAAATAAGTCCACGAGCCTAATACTTAAATCTCAACAAACACTATCTATTTTAATTTAAATGGAACCAGTACCCACCAGCAATTACGATTCAGCTGCCAGCATTTATAATATAATAATTTGGACTCGAAACACAAACGAATATATGAGTCGAGATACCTCCAGAAAAGCCGGCTTAGGGAACCTAACACTCGTAAATATTCTAACGAACTTTCATCTGCACCAACTGGGACAATGCCCCACGTGATACGGTGTCACACCACGTGACATGACGTCACACCACGTGACATGACACCGTTTGATATAGCAAGATATCTGACAGGATTACGCTAGAATGACCGTTTACAGCATCACCTGAAGTACCAGGCAGTATATAATGAATCACTGGCCAGTACCATGAAAGATGACCCGATAAGTCCCGAAGGTATGAGGAGCAAGATCTCAGGGGTCGAGTTACCTCACAACATTTGATACAAGAACAGGAGTGTCACTTATTATGGTGACTTGAAACATCTAGATATTGGCTCGGAATGAGGTGATTATAAAGCATTGCACCTCATGTATCCATCTCAGTAGGGGGCTTTAACATAATACGTAAACCGCCTGGGGGGTTTGTAAATGCTTACAAGAAAGAAGTTTTAGTCAGGGTCGAGTTACTTTACGACTTTTGGTACAATAATAGGAGAATTACAGATTGTGGTGACTTGAAAAATTTAGAGGCGCGAAATTAGGTCACTACAATTACATTGCACCTCACGTATTATCCATCTTAGATATTCCTAATTAGGGACTTTTCACAACGATCATTCATTTATCAACAACCTTTCATATGATATGATGATAAAATAATTAGTTTAATATAGATATAGTTGTTAAACTATCAGCTCCTACGCTGTAAACAATGTAATTTAGTGAGGTCAATGTTAACTAACATTGACCTCACCAAAGCACGTATCCCCACATAGATTATGGGGAAAGATTTCATGCAGAATTTGTAGTTTTACGATTTTGAAAAAGTTTGATAAGTCGGATGTTTCTCGTATCTTTGAGTCGATGGAAATTATGATAATATGTTATTTGAGAAATCATCCCCTATTAATTTCAAATCTTGTTCATTATGGTGCATCATATAAATGTTGAACGGCGATAACACTCCCAGGTTATTATGTAATATGTAATGGCACGATATGTGGTTCCACTATAATAGGGTCCATAGTAACGTAACAATGTACGTGCTAGTAACAATTATTATAGTTGTTGCCCTCTAACGCTTTCTTTCTATCTTTGCTAACAGTATTCATTGCTTTGCCGATCTCTCTAACTGCGAGATATGGCACGTTTTGTGTAATAAAACATACTTTACGGTTTAATTTCAACATTAAATCTAGAAGTACTGTTAGGCCGTTCCGATATCTATCCAATGAGCCCAACAGCAAGGGCGAAGAGCCAAAGATGGTCACAGAATAACCTTATCTATACGCCAACCTATACACGTTGATACCAACGAGCAACAAAACATTTACCTCAAAACGAAATACGAGTACGACTACCATCGACATTTTTTACAATGCTATACGCCACCGCGCGATTTCACTGCCATTATAACCTGATAAAATATCTGCGCGCCCTGTCACCCTGTGTCACTGTTCTAATGTATGTAAAGAGACAAGATTTATTTAAATTTCCTAATAGTGTTATTATATTTATACATGTGTGTATATTTCTAAATTTATTGTAATTGAATATTTTAAGTTTGTGCCGAGTACTGCCTCCGGGTAGTGCTCCTCAATCAATTTGGAAAATTTCCGCCGTTACGTCCCCCTCCGTAGTTTCCTCAGCCGTAGTGTCCTAAACCCAATATATTGTAAGATTATCAGCCATTTTACTGGGATACGTAGTAAGATTGACAAATTGGTCCATCATTATTCATAAGTTGTTACATAGAGATCTGAAATCTAAACAAAGATAATGTACGGTATGGTTTGATATGGTGGTAGGTGGCGCAATGGTAGTCACCACTGAGTAACTGAGTTAAGATTATGTTTTGTGAGGCCCTGACGTTGCCCATGAACTTGGATTTATGAAAAAGGTCACATATCAATATTACTTTGACCCCCGAAGTATTAAAATACAACAAGCCCCCCCCCCCCCCCCCCCTACAACAAGTACTCACCCCACATATTAACAGGCTCTTCCTCAGGACCTGTTATTACAGGTCTCTCCCTTAACTCTACCTGAAATACCAGGTTTATGAGCCTGACTTTTATCAGTTTATTTAAACTTAAAGCCAAACTCACAAACTCTGCTCAAAACTCACAAACTTTGCTAAAAACTCACAAAAATCACAAACTCTGCTCAACAAACTCTTCCATTGTAGTGGATTTGTGATGAAACTCATCTTGGAAGGATAATAACTTGGATAAGTTAATAGGACTGGTGCTTTAAAAAAATAATAAATGGCCCTATCTCAAGAAACGTAAATAAATTAAAATACATGGAGTCGGTAGCTTTATAGGGATAACTATCGAAGGTCGATTTTCTTCACCGCTTGCCTCTTTGAATCGTAATTTGAAGCATCGTTCCCCTATATTGTATATGAAATATTAATTTACAAGCCTAGAAATTTACCTCTTTGCAAAATGCCGTGTCTTGATTCTGCTGTACACAACATCGGAATATTCCAGCCTGGGTTGCATCAGAGATGTTCAAACTTGTCAGTGATCTGAAGATGGTCGTGTGTTAACTTTATATAAGATAAAGGTTGATTATACGATAAGTTAAACAGGCATGAGCTGAAACGTTTAATCCAGTTGTAGAGAGGTATAAATTCCTAAAGGCGCATGTGTTGGTACTACCAAAGTACGCAATAGCCCCGGAACACAAGAAAATAGTGTTGTTGGACAGGAGTCGCTGGAGTCGGACAGGAGTCGCTGTCGGACAGGAGTCGCTGTCGGACAGGAGTCGCTGTCGGACAGGAGTCGCTGTCGGACAGGAGTGCTGTCGGACAGGAGTCGCTGTCGGACAGGAGTGCTGTCGGACAGGAGTGCTGTCGGACAGGAGTCGCTGTCGGACAGGAGTCGCTGTCGGACAGGAGTCGCTGTCGGACAGGAGTCGCAGTCGGACAGGAGTCGCTCTCGGACAGGAGTCGCTGTCGGACAGGAGTCGCTGTCGGACAGGAGTCGCTGTCGGACAGGAGTCGCTGTCGGACAGGAGTCGCTGTCGGACAGGAGTTGTGTTACCGCCCGGCCGCCCCGGAGGATGTCGATATATCGAATATGATCCGATCATAATCGAAGACTTTTCAGGAACTACTCCTAGGAGTATGTGTAGTACAGCAAAGTACTAAACAGCGTGTTCTTATTTTATATATGATAAGTTATCAAATAATCAGTTTATCTATCTGATAAAACTGGATTCTAATTAAGATAATGTAATTTTCCTAAATGCTACCTTGGGACCAAAAAGCAATTTAATGAAATATTATCCCTGTTCCCACTTCCCAATTATTTATATTTATATGTGATTGAACACGTTTATACAAAGACTCTTGCGGTTCATAGCTTCACAATATAATAAACTATTCATCCTTTTTCTTCTTATCGTGACTAGTGATGCAAGTAAAAATATTTCTCGCAGTTCACTAAATTTTGTAGCTTATCTAAAACATAGTGTTTATTGTGTAACACCGAGATAAGGTTGTCGTCTGTTCTGTTCGTTACACTGCTGAGCTACGTCTCTTTTTGTTTAACTTGCACATGATTATATTGGTTTTTATTATGAATTTGTTCTTACTTGTCTAATAGATAAGGCAAAATTGCAGCCAGAATATCGAATGTACACTGTAATTAACCGCTCGTTCAATATGTGTTTCTCCTCGACACGCTCTGAACAAACGAAATATCTGTCGTCACAAGATAAAATTACAAGATAAAATTACATTGTAGCAGTATAGTAATTAGTAGGATGTGTTTGTGGTTTTATTTTCTTTGCAGCTTCTGAACATTGCATCTGTATAAAATCTCGTGAACTTTAGTACGTTAACCTACTGCACATGATTTTCAACATTGACACGTGACATACCAATAGTTAAAGAAGGGAGGACTGCTCCTCTGGTACAATGACTCTGTTCAGCAGAGAAGTGGAACTGTTACAGTTGGAACAAGATCCTGATCCCGGAGTGGTTGTTTTTGCATTTGACTTAGAAACAAACGGGATGACCACCAGATGTGATATCTTGCAGGTATAAATAATAAATATTAGTTATTTTCCGTTTGATAACAAGAGTAATAACGATAAAGTGTGTTTGATTGATGCACATATTTTCACTGAAATTATAAGAACAGTACAATTCTAATTATCCAAACTGCTAAATTTATTTGCTTGAGTTGGAGATCAGAGTTTCACTAATAAACTCTATGAAGGGGTGGTACTTATCCTATTTTCTATTCCAGATAGGTGTAAAAGGGTTCAACTGGAGCACAGATGAGGGGTTTGTTCAGGAATTCAACCAGTATGTCACACCTACAAATGAAATACCCCAACATTCCTCAAGAGTTCACCACCTAGCACGTGATGAAGACGGGGACCTTGTTAAAGAAACAGACACTCCGGGGAACCACGAAAAATTGGAAACATTACCGATTAAAGCGGCCTTAACGAACATGTGGGAATGGTTGCTGAAAGACAACCCTCCTGTGCTTCTTGTAGGATTCAATAACTCTCGCTTTGACAATCACATCATACTCCACCACTCCAAGATCTGCTGTGAACCAGATCTCATGGACCGGGTTAGATCACGTGTTCACTTCACTGATCTCCGCACAGTTTTATCTCAGCGAGGGGAGCAGGGAAACCTGGAGAGTCACTACAACTCCTGTGATGGACCTCCTCTAGAACTTCATGATGCTATCTCTGACTGCACTGCGATATGTTGGGTTTTAAACGGGAAGGCAGTGTCGTATGATGAGTTAAGGGGTAGGGCGGTCTCGCTTGAGAGTGTGCTGCAGAAAAAAAATAAAAGCTCCCATCCGTTGTTGATAGGTAAGTTAGTAACACCTAAAGTGGCGGAGAAGATTGGATTTATTACTCGTGAGAATTACCTGAAGTTTTCTGAGGAGGAACTCATTAGGTTCTTAAAGACTAAAGGGGTAACAAAGATATCGATAACTTTGTGTGTCAAGAAATGGAGGGCTGTTTCTTACGAAGCTGATTTCTAATGATTTTTGGAAAATTGCTATTATTATATAAATCTGCTGTACGTAAAGACTGTACGTTCTAGATTAGTTGTTTAAAATCGAAGAGTTTTACTTTAATAAGATAGATGATATTTAAACTGTTAAGAGAAACTGCGAACCCTGGTGTGGGACAGGGAAATATAGGGGGCGTTATTTGGCGTAGACCGGGCTTAAGTTCGAGCTTGTAGCTGGTGTTAAATCCTCTCACGAATACAATTCTCGTGCTGACCCCTGACAAATATTCATAATACCATTTCCACTCTGGATCAACTTTTGTCTCTAATTTGTACAATCACTCAGTTGCTGAGTATCTCACTGCTTATATCGCACACTGTCTTGTTTTTCTAATTTTCTGCTTGTTTGACGGTCACATTGATGCGAGATATGAAGGCCTCAATTTACTAACGATTAGGTACACAGAGTCTAGAGTTAGATTTTTTGTATGCCACTGTTTGCTCGAAAAGCCCTCACTCACCACCCAATCAGCACTCAATTTCAGCTTTTTTTTTCAGTTCAGAAGCCGGCGACCATATAATATGAGTAACTTTACCTAGTTAACAGGGCGCCCCATCAGCTTCAATCCCAAAACGACAACTGCACCCAGCTCGGCAGCTCATATTACAACTGCACCCAAAAACGACAACTTTCCTTTCTAGATTTATCTCATTGTTCTGCATGTGCACATGAAAATGATTACATTGCTCCAAGACCCTCCGAGAAGCATGCTGGCAACGTACCACCTGGACCCGACTGTAAAATTGGAGACAGAGTCAAGCTCCAACGAACGGCGTTTGGGATTTTTTATTTCATGAGATAGCGATAATAGGACATGGTAACCATCAGATTTCTTCACTAAAGTATTCTATCATTTCCAATTTGACGGGAACTAAGCAGTTAGTGAGTTAGAATCGTTTAGCTCTTTGCGTTTATCCTTACTCCTTAGTCCTTACACTATTTAGCTACTTATCTTCCTACCAGGCTCCACATATGCTGACTGTACTACTCTCGACTCAGCATGGAATTATGTTGGAACATATACAGGTTTACTTGTTGGAGATGGTTTTGAGATAACCCTTATCTGTGAAACAGGGTGCACCCCCTGTACACCCCCTGTGAAACAGGGTACACCCCCTGTACACCCCCTGTGAAACAGGGTACACCCCCTGTACACCCCCTGTGAAACAGGGTACACCCCCTGTACACCCCCTGTGAAACAGGGTACACCCCCTGTACACCCCCTGTGAAACAGGGTACACCCCCTGTACACCCCCTGTGAAACAAAGTACACCCCCTGTACACCCCCTGTGAAACAAAGTACACCCCCTGTACACCCCCTGTGAAACAGGGTGCACCCCCTGTACACAGGATCAGAAAATGCGATAATTGTTCCTTTCTTGGGCGCGAACGAAACAATTATTGCATCTTAAAAAAATAGAATTGCTTGCTTTAAACATAATTTCAGTAGTTTACGTACTTGTATTGAAATTGATTTTGAGTGAATATGAATTATAAATTCATGCTACGTATGAGATCTTTACTTCTATTTATAGAAGTTATGTATTGGTTATATAACCAATGAAAGATTCAGAGCGATGTTCACAGGGCGATGGAGTATTACATTCCCACGATCAATAAATTAAAACGAACAGTAGTTCGGGTGATAATTGTAAAAGTTAATTGTCGAATATTGCGCAAAATTGACCCTTAACTTTCCGTTCGCGATTTAAATAGAATGTTTAAAATGATAGGGGCCGTTTGGGCAGTTTTAAACAAACTGGTCAATAACCAATGACCACATAACACGATCTTCTTTCATTTTCAGATGTCCGACTTGTATTATCACCTGAATATCATACATGTCTATTGATGTCAATGTCGTTTGTAACCAAACACACCTCCTTGGTAATGGTGGAGATATATTATTTTTGCTCAACCTAACACCATACACCTCATGTAATTGTTCGGGAATCAGCAGTGAAGTTAAACGAGAGCCTGCGTCAAACTCTTTAAACGGTCCAACTAGACGAACATTAAAATTCAAAATGTATCGACTCTCTTCTAAGACTTGACCACGTTGATTCAGTATCGGATTCAAAGTAAAATTTAAATGCGGTGCCAAAGTCTCCAAGATTTTCATCCGCCTATAGCATGAATAAATTAGCTCATGTATAAAACCAAAATGGTTCATTCCGCCAAAGATATCTGACTGCACTCCAACCCTATCTCATTGTTCTACATTTCGAATTTTAATGTGTGTCTAGTTGGAACGGAAAGTACATGTAGAATCTACATGTACCAAAAGATTAATATAACTTTCAATGGCGTCATTCAAAGCAGCGTACTCAACCTCTTGGGGACTGTTTGATCTTTTCAGACACCCTCTATCTCTCCGTAACCCACTTAACTAATAGTTATTGTGTAGAAATGATATCTTGGTTGGATCTATTTAGAAGCTGGTCAAACCCGGTACACTATGAAGGTCTGGAATGTGTACCATTGGGAAAGAAATAATCACGTCGGAAATAAAATATTAGAATGATAATTAACATGGCTGGCATCATCAAGACAATTAACATACAATTAACAAGCGATTAAAAAGCGGACAATGCTGACCTGAATTTGCCGACTTCCTGCACCTCAGTCTGAATTACTTTGGAATCATTTCCCAGCCAATAGACTTTGTCTGGGTTAGTGTTCCCCTCGGCAGTGCAGATCAGTGAAGATATGGCGGGAGCTGGTTTCTCTTGGAGTACCACCGAGTGGACTGTTGGATCTCCAACTGAGAGGGGGTTAGTGTGAGGTGGTGAAGGTGGTAAAAGTGGTAAATTCTGTGGCTATATACTGTGTCTTAAATGTCTGTGGTAAATCTGGGTATCTTGCCTTATTGAAAAGTACTGAGCGGCAGTGTCGCGGTACACAAGAAATAATACTTGTGCAGACATTACGTCTAAGGGTAACTTCATTTCTTGGTGAATCAAGTATTTATTTGTGCAAGTTTTGGTCACGGTCCTGAATAATTCAAAATTTATAATCCACTATCTTGCAACTCTCAACTTATTAATAAGTAATAACAAGCCACTAGCCAGCTCATTCTCTTTGCCTTCAACGTCACCCGCACTAACAAACACCATACTATCCACACATATTTTGGATATCGTGTGTCCTTGATTTGAAACTATGGGATGATAATAGCAATGATAATTACAAGAATTACAATCGATTGCTGCCTGATTGGATAATAATTTCGGATAATGCTTCCGGTGAGAAGATTGTCAGATTAACCAAATTCCAGTCGATATGCCAATTGTTAGAAATGGTAATTATGCACTGATTATTAGCTATTAACTTACCATTTGCCACCGACAAAGTAGATATCAACAACACGCCACTATGTACTTTTATTAAGCATTTATTTTAATTAAGTATATCTTTTTATTCAGAACATACTTTTACCCAAGTATATATTTTTATTAAGACAAAATTTATCCGATACGAAGAAAATAACCTCCAAAAATACCCACCGAAATTAACACTGAAAGCAGTAGTGTTACAATACTTCTTCTGCCTTCTGATACTGCTGAAACCTCTACAGCTGTACTCCCCAGAGTCAGAATACCTGGACAGTTTCAGGCCACATGTTCTCTCTCCTTCTGGAGCGTTCTTCTGACAGGACGAAGCTGAGGGGGCAGTGTTTATCATATACTATTATATGCGTATTATGAATTATACATTTAAGTTTTAATTAACTGTTTTTGTACTGTAATAAAAAAGAATTGGATACATTTTACTTTAATTTGAGCGAGTTTTACTGGAATTTGAGACTGACCCCAATTTCCGAGAGGTTTATCGTCTTTAAAGAACTGAATATCTGGTACAGGGAACCCCGTCCCAGTGCATGTTAATGTTACACTTTTAGGGAACACGAACACGGCTAGGTCCGGAACTGGCGACAGTGATGACTCACATTTCTTCACTGAAACGGAACGAGTTTTATTTGTCCAAAATATTTAGCCATAGGATAATTTAAAGATTATTTAAAGTACATAAATTTCCCATATAATATTGAATATTGATCTTAAAATCAAGGATGATTTCATACCTCATCAATAAAAATAGTACTAGGAATAAATAAGCATTGATTTTACTCCTTATGAAGCAAATCAGTGCCTCAACCCTTCTCTGATCATCTCTAGGTAACTGTGATACTTATTTTCAGTGGTTAAAAGTTTGAATAAAATCAGCACCTAAAACATCTCCTGAACAGCGCCCTATTTTGCAGTTTTATTGTGCACATACGGCAGGCAATTATTTGAATCCAGCTAAGTGCGCACTTAAATGCTCTAATTTTGTCAAAAATTGTGCTGGTCTAGAAATTGTATGTTTTGTCTGTCTGTCGAAACCAAACAAGTTAAAACTAAAAAGTACTTCTTGATTAATGCTTTACACCTATGACTTAACACATATAGGTCATAGGTGTAAGGCATTCAAGTATATTCAAGTTTATTCGATCTATTTACTGAATATATGAATTTATAATGTAGTTAAAGGACTGAATCCTCTATTGACTGACTGATGACTAAATGTATGTTTGAACAAGTGTAAACACTCAACACGTGCAATAACACGTACAGAATTAACAAGTATAATACTAAGCTATACTTGTTTACTTCTCAGTAAATCAGTTTTAAGAAGTACTATACGCAAAAAATCGTAAAAATGCGGGCAATGCTTGCAACTTGAGTCTTCATTCGACAGTTATAATACATGACTTCTTGAAAAAAATTGTACTGAAGATAAGGATCTTCTATCCATAAAATGTTCACACACAGGTTTTTATGAACATAGAATTTCATGAAAAGGTTTTAATGTTAATTTTTCTGGAACAACATGCTAGGAAGCTCAGAGTTTATTTAGTGCACATAAAACTGGTGCAACAAATCAAAAACAACAAGACCTTTAGATTATTGCAATCTCCAGTCTCCACGAGATCAATGTGCAACATGTAAGTGAGTGAGCTTATAAAACTGACGGGAAACTTACGGCCATTAGTGTAAATGACTGACGGAGCAGGAAGCACTGCTAATTCTAGCGTGCAGATTCTTTCTGAAGGTCACGCGCTCATGCTCATAGCTTAAATACTTTCAAATACTCGAAATACTTTCTATTTCGACATTCACAGATCATGCTTACTTTCTAAGTTGCTCATAATATCACCATGCCAATCAAGACAACAGAAAAATGTTGGTTTGTACAACTGTGACCGTAACTTAAACCTCTTGGTCCTTCTATTATAGTCACGTGACAAAGCATCCTCTTACCTAGAATAAGTCTAACAGAAGCTTCGTCAGTATAGGATTGTAACGAGTATTTCTGTCCTGCTTCTGTGGTTGATTCTTTGTAGAAATTGTGTGTAACTTCCAGTCTGTACGTTCTGATATAGATTCAAGATAAAATAAATGTGATCTGAACATTGTCGTTCACCATGAAGTTTTTCTTGGAATGGCTCACAATCGCTCAATACCCATTAAATTATCCATAATTACCCATTATTACCCATTATTACCCATTACTCACATATTAATACCAGCTAATGAAGCTGAAGATCAAAGGACTAACCTCTCATTAACTTGAGTGAAATTATCTATGGATATGGTGTAAACATCGTCCTGTACAGTACACTCTTCATTAAAATACCTCCCGACTCCGTCCTCACAGACCGTGTTCCTCACTCCGTCTGTGTATAGGTCTACCTACCAGAAAATAGTTCAAATTAGCTGCCAGGGTTTCAGAAAATAGTTTAAGTTACCAGCCAGGGTTTCAGAAAATAGTTCAAATTCGGAATTCCGGAAATACAGTGAGACAGTGGTCTGACTTGTTGATGTGAACAGATTACAGATGGTTCTGTTTACAAGAGTAAAAAGGTTCTAGCTAAAAAAGTTTGGTTAGTAGGTCAAATTCTAATGATAAAATGTAGCAAGAAGTGACGGGCTTGCAATCTGCCACCAGCACTGAGCTGTACCTGTCCTGGACACGTGATATTGTGACGACGTCACGTGATATTGTGATGACGTCACGTGATATTGTGATGACGTAACGTTTGGCACTGACCTGAACATTTCCTGGACACGTGACGTTGAAAGAAAATGTCACACTCTCGCGCTCAAAAACGTGAAGAGTAGTTCCAACCGCCATGTTCTCTGGAAGCGATGTGAATATCTCCGGTTTTCCTGTGCAAAAGCTGTGATAAGTGGTTAATAAGCTAAAAAGATAATTGCCCGAATATTCAGTTTAATATTCGCTTGATCATTGATAAACCCATAAACAAACCTATGATAGCGATCTGAGTGAGTCTCTGAACAAACCTATGATAGCGATCTGAGTGAGTCTCTGAACAAACCTATGATAGCGATCTGAGTGAGTCTCTGAACAAACCTATGATAGCGATCTGAGTGAGTCTCTGAACAAACCTATGATAGCGATCTGAGTGAGTCTCTGAACAAACCTATGATAGCGATCTGAGTGAGTCTCTGAACAAACCTATGATAGCGATCTGAGTGAGTCTCTGAACAAACCTATGATAGCGATCTGAGTGAGTCTCTGAACAAACCTATGATAGCGATCTGAGTGAGTCTCTGAACAAACCTATGATAGCGATCTGAGTGAGTCTCTGAACAAACCTATGATAGCGATCTGAGTGAGTCCCTGAACAAACCTATGATAGCGATCTGAGTGAGTCTCTGAACAAACCTATGATAGCGATCTGAGTGAGTCTCTGAACAAACCTATGATAGCGATCTGAGTGAGTCTCTGGACCCATATGGTCTGAGTGAGTTTGTCCAGAAAGGCACACTGAACCACTCCACTCTTCATTCTACTGGCTCGATTCACTGTTATTGGTACTTCTATCTCTTCACCGTTGTAGTAGTACACGCGTCTGTAATGGACTCAATAGTTACTGTTACATACTAAGATTATAAATGAGAGAAATAGAAATAAAAGCTTCCAGAAAATTGATTTAAATCTGGAACTAAAAATTAACTTTAAAGTAAACATCCTTCTCTTTAAAAATTATCTTCCTCTTCTACACTTTAAGCAATTGTGATCTTTTTGACAAGTTCAGCCGGTGAATCGTATAAATAATAACGAGAAATTTCGTGATATGATAACTGACCTAAACTGCGCCGGATTCAGGACACTACATGGTATCTGAATGTTCCCCAAAGTTGTCCCCAGTATGTATCCCTTGTAAACAGGGGGCTCATCTGCGAACTCCACCTCTATACTGCTATCAACTGAAAGTAAGATTGTAGATATTTAGCTATCTGTGTGTTAGTCTTATCTCACAGTTAAAAAGTCAGTGATTAGTTATTAAATATGTTATTTGTTGAAACAGTTTGTGATCCGAACTTTGTGATTACTGTCTAAATTTCTTGAGTATGAACTGGATCGATAATATTACAGTCAAACCTTTAGATATTTGTTTTCTTTGGCTTGCACGAGCCAACATTTATTTTTATCCGATTTATCAAAACTATTAATCAGCAGACAATTACCATAATAATTACAGAAAATTTTATAATTTCAGATGTATCTATTTTTGCTTTTGTCTGAAAATAGAGCAAGCCAAACGTTTCCATAAAACCACCAAACTGTGCCAATTAACGCCCAGTAACCCAATTAACCACTTTTGAAACCAATTAACTTATGAAAAAAAATAATTCACAAACACCTGAAAAACAGCATATTATCTGTTAATATGGCACGCGTTTGATAAATACCCACCAAATATCGACACGCGCATTTAAGCTGACTCCAATTCGCACAAAATCGCTAAAATTAGAGAAAATCTCGGACGGATATAATCACTTTAATTGTCCCTAATTATCCAACACTGGTCGCTGTGTTGGTGTGTGCTGTAAAAATTTGTCATGGCTGATATGGGTAGTGGGTACAGTAATTCTACTGTCTACCGTCTGAAGATATGATAGTACCGTCTCCAAACAACCCTGGCTACTAATTTGCTGTAAAGCACTACTAATAGCACAGTGCTACTAATAGCAATAAACAGCACTTAGGTTGTTTGACTGGGAGCGAGGGAGTGGACTAATTGGTCAGCAATTCTGGCAAGGTGGTACGATATTGGTATCCACTTATCTGGCAACTAGCAAGGTGGCACGATATCCTTTAATCTGGAGGAGATTTAAGAGACGGTAAATATAATTTGGTTTGAACTGTTAGTCTTCACCTGGTAGTACCTGAGGGTCAATATAGTTATTATTTAGTGCAGACAAGTTGAATATAGCTCTGGTAACCACACATACTCAAAATCTTTATATATACAGTAATTATCAGGCGTTTTGCGGCAGTCTGTACAAGACTGAGATATCGACATTTGAATAATTCAGAGAAGTAAAACAGGCATGTAGATATTTAGCACTTCTCAGAGATTTGAGAGTGATTTGAAGAGATGGAGTTAGAGAAAGAACAATTGACTATATTTTTGTTATACATATTCAAAGGATGCGTGACGCGTGTGGGTAGAGGATCCTGGACACTTTTGTATTCAGAGTTTTAAAAGAAATCCCGCTAAACCTATTCTCTGTCCCCTGGACTAGTACGCAGTATTCTCTGTTTTGAAAACTGGTCCAGAAGAAATTATAGATTATCATGGTAGACTTATAGAATATAGACTAGTATTTAGTAAACTATTATATTGTATATGTCTAGAAAGCAATGTCTATCTTGATAAGCCGCAGCCCGCAATAGGAGCACCTTCTAAAGAATGTTTAGTAAATTATCTATCATCTGGTCTGAACTGGGTGTATTTGTTAAGCTTACTGACGCACATAGACCAACATTTTTTCAAGAAAAGCTAAATTATTTGATAAAATTATTGTAGAGCACTTTATCAGAAAATAAACGCACGTATCAGTAATTTAATTTAATATCAACAATGTGAATAACTTACCAGGTTGAGGAACAGTAACAGTGACTTTATCGGTAACCATATCGGACCCACATCTTACAGCACATTGAAACTTCCCACTTTCTCCGTCAGGTAACCGGTACTGTAATTGAAATAATTAGGGTAATTACCGTAATTAGAGTAATTATGGTAGCTTCAGGGGTAATTTGGATAATTTTAGGAATTATTATGGATAATTTTAGAAGTATTTATACTTGGTTTATCATATTAGCTGATTAAGATTTAGATAAATAATTACAATCGCTGGTATAACTAATAATTATGGCTGCTTTGATAATTCTGGGAGTATAAAATTATAACATTTAAACATAGTCTGCATATTTTCATAATCGTAAAACGATCCAATCAAGCCCGGTCCGATTTATGTACGTTAGGAAATAATTTTAAGAATGTAACACTTTTCTGACAAAATGTAGAACAGCTTGGTCATTAGAAAACAAAATGTAAAATGACTCGTTAGCCTCAATTCGCCCTCGACTAAATGCTTCAAAAATTGTATTAATCGAAACTCAATTAGTTGAACTATAGACATGTGAAATATCATATGCCTATCTTAAAAGTTCTTCCTGTGACAACCGTCTAAAGTTAAATTGGGAAAACGTGGTCCATCTCGTGCGAACTTTCCTAATGACCAGGGTCTTATTACTTTACTTTACTTAACGTTGTTTAGCTGCAAGGCAGCAGGGCCATCTATGAAAACCACCCTTTTTCTTTTACTTCGGACAACCATGGCTGGCACCAGCACTTACAGGAACCCGAAGGATCGATAACTAAGGCCAGCGACGGTTAAGGTATTATACCAAACTTTCTTTGCCCGTGGCTCCGCTGTATAGATCATGTACAGCTCCTCATTTAACCCTCACACACATTTTCTCGAGCATTCGGCTGAGTAGACCGGGGGCTGCATAGGTCCATCGGAACCCTTAGCAGAACGGCAATGCCGCTCACCCCATGGCTAGTGGTACAGGCGGGAATCGAACCCGCAACCTCGTGATTGAGCAGCATATCACGAGTATGGCATGTCGACTAACGAACTGCGCCACTAAATGTAAACTGCGCCACGAAAAGTGTTATGTAACACTTTTCTGACAAAATGTAGAACAGCTTGGTCTTTAATTGCAGTGTTTACCACCAGTAAATTCTAATGAACAGAGCTATGGAAACGGTATTTTGTCTAAACCGGTGTCTTGATTGGTGTCCTTTAGTCCTTAACTCAAACAAATAAATAAACAAAATAGTAAATACTGACGAAAGAACTGGAACGAAGCACTTTACTGAGTACCAATTTATGGTTGTCCGACAATTAAGACTCCCATTTAAAGTCTCGATTTTTTTCCTCAGAGGAGGAACCAACTAACACATCATACATTCATTCACTACATATCCACCGACAAAAAGATGATAAGTCTCTATCTTTAAAGGTCCCAATCAATCCACAACAAATTGACAATATCAATGACCCACAGCCAGAAACCATAGCAGACTAGCAGATAATCTGTATGGAAATTTTCGATTTCGGAGGAAATTTTTTTTTGCCAAAGAGAAAATTTCAAAAGTTTACGATATTGATTTGAAAAATTTGGATACAAAGTTTTTTGTTGGTGAAGAGAAAATTTTCTAAAAACAATCCAAAATTGTTGACAAATGAAAGAGGAAAAAACTAACAGTTCTTTGAATCTTTTTTTTAACTGCCTTTGAAAATTATCTCTATTGCCAAATTGCTTCTAGGCCTTCTGTGTGGGCAAAATCATCAAGAATTTTTGCCTGCGGCAAACATATTTTCAATTCCTGTCTGTGGCCTGTGCGAAAGTTTAAGTTGTATGCACTCTACATTTCTCAGGATATGGTTGCCTCTACTCTGCAAGGAACATATTATTATATTATAATTATTTGTGATAACTACGACAGATGGTGCAAGCTGGCCATGTTTTACTTGTTGTAGGAGAAAGCCATTTTGTAACACACCATTTTGAAGGGCTTCAGATATTTTGTTATTGTAGATTTTAATGTGGCCAAGCAAAAACGCAAAAATTTTCTGGGGCCTCGCTTCAAATGCTTAAGAACTGTCCTGGCGAGCAGGCCACGGAATACAAAAAAATTGTATCTGCGAGGAAATTTTTAACTTTCTGGATGTGGGATCAATGATGAAGAAAATAATTAAAATTACTAAGCTATTGAGTATTTATAACCAACTGTTGTAGAAACAAATAGCTGACCTGTCGCCCTTTAGCGATGATTATATCCTCCTTGTACCAGGTGTAAGATATCCTGTTAAAGTCTCTGGAACAATACCCTACTCCACCACAAAGTAGTGTTATATTTGAACCAACTTTTACCTGAGAAGATGTGAGGAGTTCAGTTAACCGGCATTCAGGTTTTAGTAGTGTTAATGCAAGCCAGAATTATGCAAATTGAGTTTGCATAGCTATTTAGTTGTGAAACTTCGTGGCATATGACATATCGGTGTAAAACATTTCCAGTTAGCACTTAGCAGATACTCGATAGTAAGGATAGTTTGCATGTTCACAATCCTAACAAGTGATCTTGTTTTCAAATTGAAGTTGAATAAATTCTTATGGGTTGAAATTACTCCAACTACAACCTCTCTTTTGATTTGGTCTAACCTCATTGGACAAGGTGCCCTTAGGACCAATGGCGTCGGTGAGGTAACCCGCCACGGGCTTTGATATGAAGTATTCCTGTGAATTAAACTCTGAAATAAAATAAGTCATAACTAAATGTACCTGATGTAAACGTTTGAGTTTAAAATACCTAAACAGCTGCTACAATGTAATGCATGAAATTTAACATCTCATTCCAGCCAGATATTTGAATTTCATTTAAAAAGTCTCTGATGAACTAAATAAAGGGAATAGCACATACCAAGCCTAACTTGGACAGTCCAAGCAGCTACCAGAATACTCCGAGTCCCCTGAACCACTTTACAGAAGTAAGTAGCCTGATCCTCCGCCAGTCGAAAATTGTATAACACTAGATCATACCTCTTCACACTTATCAGTGTCAGCTCTGTACCCGCAACTTTTATGATGACTTCTGTTTCTGTAGCCGACATCTACATGTGCACGCATATAAGAGATCAGTTGAAATTTGTTTTTGTTTTCATGAGACATGTCATTATTTTATTCGACAATACTTTGAGAAAGCAGTTTAGAAATCAAATAATATGACTTACCCAGATTCTGGCATCTCTGAATTGGGAAACATTTTGTCCACCCTTGAACCAAACAACCTCGAAAGGATCGTTACTGGTAACAAGGTTCACCTGAATGATTAGCTTTTTAGAGAAATCGATATTTTTCACTTGAATTGGAGCAAACTTCTTGATGGGGTTAGTTCGTTTATAAAGAATTACTGTTTGTATAAAAATAACAAGAACTAACTTGCTCATTACAAGAAAGTGTTGAGGCAACAGCCATCATAGGTTCATTGATCTCCAATAACTTATCCAGGGGATTACCCTTGTATTCAAAATCTGAAATTAAAGTTGACTACAAAAGAATTTTAAAGTCTTTTCGAGCAAGTTTTGATACATGTCAGCATTGATATACTTTGTTTTAGAAGTGTGAATGTTATATTATATGATTTCTTTCAGAACAGCAGATGTTGACATGCCCTAAATCGCAAATGAAACCTTAGAGACACTTTTTTCTTGTTCGTTTAATATCTAATCAAATACTGCTACAAAGGATAAAAATTAAAAATTATTCACTTACAAGCAATTGTGACTTTTGCAACATCACTATAGATGACTTGACCTTCGGACTCAGCTCTACATTGAAACAAAAGCTTGCTATCTGATTTATAAATGTCTATCGATATTATACTAGAGGTCTGATTCAAATGATTGTTTTCATCTGGAGGAATTTGAACTTCTGATAACCGATACCATCGGTATCGTACTGAATATTGTTCGTATTTTGCTGTACAATTGAACGTTACTGATGAGCCATGCTCAACAGACTGAGAAATTGGTTGTTGGAGGAAGGAAAATGTTGTAGGTGTTTCAAAAGAGTTTGCAGCTTCTGTCCCCCTGGGCAAATGATCACTTTTAAAAACAAATCATTGTCAGTACAGATTCCCAGATAGATTTGAATTGTATTAAAGTCTTAAAATTCATAATTGCCCCTAACCTCTAAATTAGGTTGTGGTTCTTACCATATCAAGAGCATAAGGATCATATTTGCTGTGATGTAACAGTTTCATTTAGCACCAATGTTATTATTCTTCACACAATTCTTCCATAGCAATGCTTCTATGACAAAAAAGAATTAGTTCAACTATATTTCATTTTAGTATTTCCCAGAGGCGGCTCGTGGGAGCTGGCTGGCAGTTGTGTTGGGTTTCCAATCGACGGACTCAGGGCCCAGGGGGCTTGGGGATTTGCCAATGATTGCATACAATACCACAGCAGAAAGTTAATTAATTAACTAAAATATTCTAACGTATATTTCAGTTACACACAGCCCACAGAGCCTTATGTATGTAATGTGTCACAGGCAACAGCAAACAAAAACGGAAACTTAAAAAAATTGGTGAAATAGGACACCACACGTGTATGGTCTCAGCCGCGCAGTGTGATAGCACTAGCAGTCGATAGTTCAAATTGCAGGGTGTCCTTGACAACCTAGGACAACCTGATCATATAGATTAACAGTACGTTGATGTGCTTTGTACCCGTTTGCAATTAACTGTGTGTTAAAACTGCGCGGCTGAGTTGTCCAAACAAGGATTGGACACCCAACAACACGATTGATCATGCGTGCGCTGACATTCGAACGTTTGGGTAGAATAAAGAGCTTTATATCGCGATTACCTTTATTTGAAAAGATCTTCGAGAAGGTCATTTATAAACGCCTCTATAATTTCTTCACATCTAAAGGTGTACTAACAGACTCACAGTTTGGATTTAGAAAAGGCCATTCTACCACCCACGCTCTACACAAATCTATAGACTCCGTTACTAAGTCTCTGGCAAGCAATAAACATGTCCTAGGGATAGGTGAAATTTGTACTTTTAAATGCTGATGAAACTAATATCTTTATATCAGGACCATCTAGAGAAGCAAAATACAAAAAAGCCAACTTAGTACTTAAACATGTCTCGATTTACATGAAATGTAATCTACTTCATATCAACATGTCCAAATGCTGCTACATACATTTTAAACCTGCCTCTGAATATGATGAGACCTGTGCACGGACCAGACCATTTGCTATCCTGCTAGATGAATCTAGATCAACATTCATCAATGGTAAGACTAAGGTTATTACTAAGGTCAAGGATACCAAATTCTTAGGTGTTGTTATAGATAGTAAGCTAAACGGGATTGCCCATATGCACTACATCTGTAAAAACTGCGATCTGGAGAATTCGGCACTCGATACCTTCTGAAGTATATTTGAAAATATATAATGCTCTTTTTGAATCACATCTCAGTTATGGTATAAGTGTTTTGGGTGTTGTCCTCAAAGAACGGTCCAATGATAGTCTATTTATCACACAGAAGCACTGTATAAGGATCCTTTTTGGCGACCTTGACTCATATTTAGATAAACAATGAGCATGTGTACGTACTAGACCATACGGTATGCAAAAATTAGACCATAAACACTTTGAAAAGGAGCATACAGAACCCATTTTTGATAGATTAAAAATTCTTACGGGTCAAAACTTGTACAAATATCACTGCATCTTAGAATTCTCTAAGATTATTTGTCATATGTTGTATGACCCGCCGCGCACGAGTGCGCGGCTCCCCCTGTATCGTCGAAACTCTACAGTGTACAGTACTATAGTAAAGCGACAGTGGGGGCCACCACGTGATACAAAAGATTATCAAGTACCACTGCCCATACTCCCTTTATGAGGCTATCGACATTTCAAACCGTGCAACGAGTCTAACGGTTATTCTTCTAAATAAATCAAATACCTTTTTGTTTAATGCAGCCAAGCTTTGGAATGCTGTTCATAAACAAATTTTAACTTCAAGCAACTGCTTAGAAACGTCCATTGAGAACCAAAGCAATATTAATACAAGCACAGGTAGCTGACTTACATAAAAGATACTTGGACTCCAAGCAATTTTAAATTGCAGTAATCAAATCTAATTACAGCGGCACACACTTATTATTACTATCATTACTATCATGATTGTACTGTAGACAGAAAATCTTTGATACATGTTACGGCGCGCGAAAAGTGGCATGCAACGTATGTCAAGAAAATCTTTGTATCACGTTGCGACCCCACGATCGTTTCACTATAGTCTTGACTTCGTGCGCGGCGGGTCATACAACGTATGACAAGAAAATCTCTCAAATCGATTTTGGGCGCTTTTAACCATTTGTTGTAATGTTTTTAGATATTAAATATCTAAATTTATTTATTTTGATTATCGGAACGAATTAATCAATATTTATATAATAATTTATTCGGTAGTTTTATCTGATGTTGATATTGATATTTATTATATATTGAACGAAGCTAACTCTAGTCATAGTTAATATTACTTTTTTAAACAAACAACAAAGGGAGTATAAACGATAAAGTTTGCATAAATTTCTATCCAACCAAGAACTCAGGAGGCAAAGGTGGGTCTACAACTATTTTACTTGTAGCGCGATGCGTTACTGTGCCGCGCCACGCACTCAATTACGCTTTTCGCAACGACAGAGATGCGCTACTGTGCCTCGCATAGCTGCGATGAATTGACATCGTCAATTAAATATTTTACGAGTATCACCCGTTAATAAAATATATGTTTTGCGCTATTGTAGTAAGGATAATTAATTAATTATTGAAATTAACTGCTCTCCAGTTGACCATTGTTAATGGTCTGGCCTAATTCGTAGCACTTGCCATAACATTTCGAGAAGCTAAAGCGGCGCGCGCTACTTCGAAGAAATTTAGACGAGTAACATCCGTCAACTCTCCAGCAACTTTTTTGTATCACGTTGCGACCCCCACGGTCGTTTCACTATGTCGTTCTGACTTTATCGTTGTGACGATACAGGGGGAGCCGCGCACTTCGTGCGCGGCGGGTCATACAACGTATGACAACAACTTTATAGAATGGTATATTGGAATTATTATGCGATTGATCAGATGCCTTGTTCTTGTGGTGCGATGCGTTACTGTGCCGCGCCGCGCACTCAATTATGCTTCTCGCATTATTGAGTCAATAGTTGGTTTTAAAACCATATAATTTAAATTAATCGATGAAGAATTGTGAATGTGGCTTGGTAGGGTTGCAACATAACAAATAAATAATGTTACTCATGCGAGGAGCATGTGTGCATGGTATGATGTTTATTCAGATTTTGGAGACTGGTTAAAGACTGCCAGCCAACTGAATTACATACAGGAAGTTAATTGTTCTCCTCGATATTCCTGCCCAATAAATCACATGATAAGGGATATTTCATATTAAAAGTAGTAAAATTGGGCCAAGTTTATAAACTATTAGTATTTTGTTTGCTCTATCCAGAGCCCTTGCGCTTGCAGTAGCGCGCGCCCGCCTCACGGCGGTAAAAGGGCTCTAGCCATGAACCCACCCAACGATTTCGATACCACTGTACAGTGGTGCCAAAATTACCCGCGCTTTTGTCCTCATATCCGACGCCGCGCGTGTCGTTTAAGTCATTTCACATTTGTTAGCCGCTTTGAATAATTTGTGTTCGACAAATTTCTCGTTGGATAAGATTTGAGATTAATATTATCAAATTTTCAGAAAGCTCAGTTAGTTGTACTGCATTGTTTCCTTATACTGCCGAATGCCCATGATTCTTTTCTTGACTTGTGAAACAAGCGCGCCCGCAGTGGCGCGAAAGCACATGGTTAGGTGAAGTATTTTGTCATACGTTGTATGACCCGCCGCGCACGAAGTGCGCGGCTCCCCCTGTATCGTCAGAACGATAAAGGTGAAACGACCGTGTGAAACGACCGTGGTGAAACGACTGTGGGGGTCGCAACGTGATACAATTAGTATTAACCTCTGCGGTGTTTATTGCATGAGCTTAGTCAACTTTCAGCTACTTTTAAAGTTTTAAATCGTGCACTATAATATATGTGCAAAAGTATTGTATGTATACAACCTACCAGGATGCGCGCCGAGTTGGACTCGTCGACGGTCATGATACATGGAACAGATATTTTACGAGTATCACCCGTTAACAAAAGTATTGATCTCATAAAAAACGATAACCAGAAAGCCTAAGTCGTCCATCATTTTTGGACGCTGATTCCGAATCACTCCCAGAGTAGAGAGAACTATTGACCTGCAAGCTCCGAACCTGCACCCAGCAAACCTTACTGGCTGGGCGTGTTAGTGTTACTAAAGGTGATCGTGTCTTTGCAATTGCAGCGAGCTCATGCTGATCGCACACGTGACGCATTCCAGCTTCACGTGACACAATTCAGCCAAACAGAGGACATGAATCATCGATTTGCAAACTTAGCGATTTGTTCCAAGCTTTTCTTTAGGCATTCCCACTTGGCCAGTGACTGTGAGCACTTTGTCTTTCTACAGGTTTTATAGAGGGCTTTCCGGACTGATCTTGATCCTCGAAAGACTATTTTGAAATTATCTGGTACTTCATTTTCAAAAGAGATACTTGCTCCCCCCTCCCTCCCTCCCCTCCCTCCCTCCCTCCCTCCCTCCCTCCCTCCCTCCCTCCCTCCCTCCCTCCCTCCCTCCCTCCCTCCCTCCATCCCTCCCTCCCTCCCTCCCTTCCACCCTTCCACCCTCCCTCCCTCCCTCCCTCCCTACCACCCTCCTTCACTCCCTCCCTCCCTACCTCCCTCCCTCCCTCCTCCCTCCCTCCCTCCCTCCCTCCCTCCCTCCCTCCCTCCCTCCCTCCCTCCCTCCCTCCCTCCCTCCCTCCCTCCCTCCCTCCCTCCCTCCCTCCCTCCCTCCCTCCCTCCCTCCCTCCCTCCCTCCCTCCCTCCCTCCCTCCCTCCCTCCCTCCCTCCCTCCCTCCCTCCCTCCCTCCCTCCCTCCCTCCCTCCCTCCCTCCCTCCCTCCCTCCCTCCCTCCCTCCCTCCCTCCCTCCCTCCCTCCCTCCCTCCCTCCCTCCCTCCCTCCCTCCCTCCCTCCCTCCGTCCCTCCGTCCGTCCCTCCGTCCCTCCGTCCCCCCGTCCCCCCCGTCCCCCCGTCCCCCCGTCCCTCCGTCCCTCCGTCCCTCCGTCCCTCCGTCCCTCCGTCCCTCCGTCCCTCCGTCCCTCCGTCCCTCCGTCCCTCCGTCCCTCCGTCCCT